ATATATGATAGAATGAATGTAAAACTAATGTTCTCCCATGGAAATTTTCATATAATTCACAATAATACATTTAAAAAAAAAAAAAAAGAGCCTAGAGAAAGGACTCTGAGGAATACAGTTGCACTTCTACAGAACCCCATTCACTTCAAAGCGGCCTAGGAGACTGTTATACAAACCACCACCAAAGTTTAAAAAAACAATGGCTTTGGTATATATAAGCATGCACATAAAGCTGTAAAGCAATAAAATTTTTAATAAGCACTATTACTTTTGAATGTTTGTCACAGCCAGGACTTGGAACTGGTTCATTCCAGTTTGATCCCCTGATGAGAAGTTCTACCACAGATAAAGAGAAAACAGAATATACATTTTAACAAGATCCCCTGATGAATGTTAGATCTATCCGTCACCTGGGGATTCTTATTAAAATCGGGTGGAAGGGCAAATTCTCAGCAGGGGGTTGAGCCAGAATGCATTGATAAGAAGCCCTGGTCAAAAGGCCCTACTTCCAAATTCTAAATGTAGTCTTCTTTACAGTATATTATTGTTGTTGTTCTTAAATTGGTTCTGACTCAAACAGACCCTGTATAATCGTTTCCAAGGAGCAACTGTTTCAAGCTACAGACCATGCAGTTATCAGTCTACTGCTTATCATACAGCAGGACTCCTCTTCTTTCTAGTATGCTGCTAACTGTCCTCAAATGGGTTCCAATTTATAGTGATGCTGTCTAGCGTTTCCAAAGAGTGGCTGGTGGGTTTGAACCGCTGACCTTGGGTTAGTAGTCCAGTGCTTATCCTACAGCATTTCACCAAGACTCCCTTCCTAGAATAAGAATGACATTCTATACCTTCCTCTCAATCAAATATATACCTAATAGGATCCTAGTAATCTGGGTACACAGATGGGTAGTTCATTTAATAACTTCATGATGCACACAGGCTTTCCCCATTATCACAACTCCTCTCAACAGCAAACCTTACCAGGATTCAATAGCTCCTTGAAATCATCTTTTCGGAAATCTGGTAAGACTGGATTAATCCACTCTTGTACTTGAATACCATGCTCCTTTGATAATATTTTTAAAGTTGCTGTCTTTCCACATCCAGGAGGACCTGTTATTAATAAAATAGATCCACCCTAAAACCAAATATAAACAATTAAAATCTAATCACTGGGATGGTAAAATAGTATTTTTGAATTTTCATTCTAAACACAACTTTAATATAGATCTCACACAGGAAAATCTATCTTAAAAAATTATGAATATAATATTCTTATGAGACGACCTCAAACTGGATATCAGATTCTTCAAGAAATAATATATTAATACAGTGCCACACCAGGATTTTAAAAAGCAACTGGAAAAACTAGATAAGAACTTTAAAGGACAGTGAGTTTAAGTTAATAAGTAAGAAACAACTCAGTAAAAGACGATTTGTTGTAAAACTAAGAATGTAACCAATGTCACATGTAGAAACTCGTGAATTGGTGTATATCTTGATACTAATATTTTGAACATTAACAAAAAATATTTTACAATATATATATATATTAAAACACTTACCAAAGAGTACAGAGATACTTTCTGTGAATCCCAGTAAGTTTTCCTTATATTTGATGTGATAAAAAAGCCAAATAAAATACATGGGAAACATTTCCTCTATCCAATGGTGGGCTATAATCTTTGCCCATTTGTTTACCTTTACTAACTAGTGTAAACTAGTCTGTGTGAGTAATCTCCACTTTCAAACAATGAAGTCAGGTCCATCAAGAGCCTCGACAAAATACCAGACTGAGTGCCCTGATAACATCTAGACTGACAGAAAATCCATCTAGGACCAAGAATTCATCTGTTACATAACCTCCCACATCCACCATGTAAGGCTCCTTGGTTTACTATGCCCCATAGAGTTTTCTCATCTCCAGTTGCAACAGATACATTGTGTTTTGGGGTTTGGGTTTTTCCTTTTTTTGTTTCATTGATTTTTATTTTTTCTCCTCCTTCTTCTCTATCCATTCCCTTTCGGAAACCCTGTACAGGGTTACTATGAGTCAGAACCGATTCCACGGCACACAGCCACTACAGCCACCATTTCTGCTGTTGTTTTTTCTTCATCTGTTTCTCATTTCCCCTCTTCTGGTCTTTTTACTATTTTGTACTCTCTTATCTTTGCTTTCCCTGGTTTTTCTGGGGTTGTTGTTGTTGTTTTAATTTTTCCTTTTATTTACCCTCACTTATTTTTCTCTTCTATAGCTCCATTTCCCTGTCCTGTATTTGTCTTTATATTTACTACATTCTTTTTTTCTGGTTGCTTCTCATTTTTATTTCTTTTTCCCTATTATTTTCTCTTTCCTTGTTGGTTTATTCTTTTGTTTTTGTGGGGTGGGAAGGGATTTTCTGATTTCCATCCAATAGGAGACAGTATTTATGTCCATACAGTCCAGCCATAAGCCTCTCCAGCTCCACCAACTGGGCAAGAGGCAGTACCAGCTGATCAATGATAGACAGCAGCCAACACCAGCCAAACCCATCCTAAATGGAGATGCACAAATGGCGAATGAGAATAGTGTAGACATTTCCATTCTCTAACTACATCCACAGGAGACAGTTGGTGAGAGCATAAGAATACACCAATATGCAATGCTCAATTAAACACAAATACAACAATCCCACAATACCCCAGAGAAAACAGACAATTTTAGCTCACATGAAGAAAGAAGAAAGAATGACTCAAACAAATGACCAAGATGCCAAGACAGAAAACGTTTCTGAGAAAGAAAAGCTAATGGAACTAACTGAAAAAGAATTCAAAAGAATGGTATTTACGGACCTTCAAAGGACTAATCGAGAGGAGGAAAGTAAGGAGAACACAATAAAAATTACAGAAGAATTTAGAAAAACATTTTAAGAGCAAACAGACAAAATAAATGTAAATTTTAAAATATTAAAACCTGCCAACAGAAATCCAGAAGATTAATACTAAGATCTCAAAAACTGATAATACATTGAAAGGCCAAAAGAGTAGATATCAAGCAATGGAAGACCAAATTAGTGAGACATCCAAATTGGCAAAGAGGAAGTAAAACTCTGTTTGTAGACGATATGATCCTATACATAGAAAACCCCCAAGACTCAGTAAAAAAGCTACTAGACCTCATTGGAAGATTCAACAAAGTGGGAGGATCCAAGATCAACATACAAAAATCAGTTGGATTCCTCTATACCAACAATGACAGTGCTGAAAAGGGCATTAGGAAAGCAATAACTCCCATGGTTACAGTGGCTATCCAAAGGATGAAATATCTGGGAATAAACGTAACCAGAGAAACAAAGGACCTATACATAGAAAACTATAAAATACTACCACAAGAAACGAAAAGAGACCTACAAAAATGGAAGAATGTACCATGCTCCTGGATAGAAGACTTAACATTATGAAAATGTCAATAATGCCCAAAGCAATTTACACATATAATGCAATCCCAATCCAGATTCCAATGACATTCTTCAAAAGAGATGGAAAAATAATTACAAACTTAGTATGGAAAGGAAAGAGACCCAGGATAAGCAAAGCACTGCTTAAGAAGATGAATAAGGTTGGAAACCTCTCACTCCCCAACTTCAAAATTAATTACACAGCTACAGTGGTCAAAACAGTTTGGTACAACGAAAGATACATAGATCAACGGAACAGAATTGAGAACCCAGAAATTAACCCATCCATATACAGCCAACTGATTTTCGACAAAATCATACATATATCACCTGAGGAGGTGATAGTCTCCTCAACAGGTGATGCTGGCAGAACTAGAAAGCAATATACAAAACACTGAAACAAGATCTTTACCTCACACCTTATACAAAAACCAACTCAGAATGGATTAAAGACCTAAATGTGAGTCCCAGAATTATGAAGGCCATCAATGAAAAAACAGAGACAAATATGAGGGCTCTAATTCAGGGAATACACAGGCTGCCAAACATTTTGAAAATTACACAAACAAAAGTAGACAAAATAGATGATTGGGGCATACCAAAAATTTTAAATTTATGTGCATCAAAAGACTTCGCCAAAAGAGTAAAAAGGGAACCCACAGAATGGGAAATAATCTTTTGCAACGACACATCAGACAAGGGACTCGTTTCTAAAATAAATAGGAAACTACAACACCTCTACAAGAAAAAGACAAATAATCCAATTGAAATATGGGCACAGGACATGAACAGACACTTCACCAAGGAAGAGATCTGGGGAGCCAACAAACATATGAAGAAATGCTCATGATCACTAATTGTTGTTGTTGTTAACTGCCGCCGAGTCAGTCAAAACAACAATGAGATATCTCACACCAGCAATAACAGCAAAAATCAAAAAAGTAGAGAACAATAAATGCTGGCAAGGATGTGGAGAGACTGGGGTGCTCCTGCATTGCTGGTGAGATTGCAAAATGTTTCAACGTCTCTGGAAAACAATATAGCACTTCATCAGAAGCTTGGAAATAGAAATACCTTACAATCCAGCAATCCCTCTACTTGGTATTTACCACAAGAAATACGAGCCATAACATGAGTTGATATATGCACACCAATGTTCACAGCTATTTACAACAGCAAAAAGATGGAGACAACCTAAGTACCCATCAACTGAAGAATGGATAAACAAACTGATACATATCCACAATGGAATAATTATGCTCCCTTGAAGAACAACAAGCAAGCTGCAAGCTACCACATAGCATGGATGAACAATGAGGACATTATGTTGAGTGAAATCAGTCAGTCACAAAAGGAGAAATACTGCATAGGACAACTATTATAAAAGACTAAAAACACCAATACTAAAGTGGGGGTGCAGTCAGGGGAGGGAGGGAAAGGTGGAGCACAGGGTAGGGAATAAACACAGGATAGTTTGGGTGCTGGAGAGAGGAGCAAAACGCAAGAAGGGGGAGGGGAATGGAAGAACAAGGCTGATGGGAAAACAATTAGGTTTGCATGGGCTTACTGGGACAGAGGTAAATAATGATGTATGCACGACTTGGAACAAAAGGGCTCTGGGATACAGGGATAGAGACATGGTTGGAATGAGGAAAAGGGCGGAAATAATGTTAAGATGTTTGCATGTCTTTTGAATCTTGGTTTCCTTGGCATACCATTATAAAATAGACACTAGAGGGGGAGAGAAAGGAATGGCCAGAAATACCACCATAGAAAGCCTGTAAGTAGGGCTTCTGCCTATAACTGAATGGAATACCAAAATGCGGATACAACATGCCCTGTGTAGGAGGCTTCCTGCAGAGCTTTTGCATTACATAAGACCATAGGTGAAATCCTGAACCTCATCCAGCATCTTCTGAGGTGGGAAACTCCCACTTGAAAGGACAAGCAGACCAGTCTAGAGCAGCTAGACGAACAGAAGATACTTCTAGAAAGAAAGACTGACAGGAAAAATACAAAACAATAACAGCAGTCCGACAGATTACTACAAGAACAAACAAGTTGCTTGCCCAGGAGACATCAAGGCAAGCGGTTGGGTCCCCTCAGTGCCAAGCCCCTGCCAAAACTAAGACTCAGTGGGAATACACAAGCAGACATGAGCTTGGATTGGTGACCACATGGGTCAATGACAAGGGGAAGTGAGGGAAAAACAGCAATGAAGCTGTGAGCTAACCCCTACAATGTTCAATAGACTCCTGTGAACCCGGGTGGAGACCTGGTTGGCCAGCAGTATGGCAAGACTTGGGGACTCATGGGCCCACAGTCAGTGACACAGCCACAGAGTACTAGAGTGAAGAGTGAAGCATTCAGCTGATAAGAAGAGAGGGCATATGCATAAGAACACCCACACTTACAGATAATGCCCACTTGACATGGCTTTAATGGCTGGATGAACAGAACTCAACTAGAAGAAGAAAGAAGAGGAAAAAAGGGTAATCTGGTACAATTTGACGAACTTGACCTACACCTATGGATGTAGTAGCTCAAAAGAGGGAACAAATCCTTACAGCGAGGATGATTCCCACCTCCTCACTACACAGGGTAGACAGGGATGGGCAACTCAGACATTGGTTACCCAAAATGGGGGTGGGGGTGGGGTGGCGGCAGCTACAAAGGCAAGAAGTGACTGGATTACAAGCTTTCAAGAGGGAGCCTAGATCCAGAGGGCACAGAGAAAGGTAGATTCTCCACTGAGTAGTAACCAATCTGTCTGGGTGTGGCTGATGAAAGGAGATATGGATAGGTCTCTGTGGTACAATAGTGAATAATTGTTATCAGGACTGACTGTGAGGGTAGGGTTGGAAATGTAAAGGTAGACCTTTTGTAGCAAAAGGAGGGGAGTGACTGACTTTGCAGTCTAGGAGCAGAGGTCCCTGGGACATCAAGGGAGAAGAGCGGCGTGCAGGACCTGACCCAGAGAAACAGTGACACCAGAGATGGAGGCAGAGACGATGAGAGATGGAGCGGCTGTGGACTCTAGACCCAGAGAGGGAGAGGAGCTATGTGCTGACGACTGAGGGGCAGGCTTGCACAGTTATACCCTTTGGTTGGTTGATGATGAATGGAGGGGATTGTAACCATGGCAATGAAACGACATTCGATAGGATGAATGTAAAACTAATGTTCTCCCATGTAAACTATCACATAATTCACAATAAAACATTTAAAAAAAAAAAAACCATCATAGAAAAATTCAATTAAAAGATAACGGAATTTTTCCATGAACTTCTTCAAACTCCCTTATATACAAGCGGGTTTCAAAACCCCCTTGTATATATATAGTATACACATTCTAATTAATAAATACTCTTTATGTAAAAAAAAAAAAAAAATTCATGGAAAAATGGAATTAAATGATAATGGAAATTTCCCAAACTTTCTGAAGCCCCTGTGCTTCCTAAACTTTTCCAAATCAGGACACATACAGAAAGTCCTATTTGTTTGGCAATATGCTGCTCCTGGCCAATGATGACTGGTATGGAGGTCCTCTGCTGCCTAAACACCTCGAGGCTAAGTGGATCTATGTCTTAAGGCTGGCGAGTTGATACAGTCTACCTGCACTTTATACTTGCAAGAGAGACTTCATGTACTTGTGTCAAACACAGTGCCACACAACATTTATCAAAGGCTGGGTAAAGAAAACATTATCTGTGTAGGATACTCCAACGGATATTAAGAACACCATTCACTATTTTAGTGGTTGTTGTTAAGTGCCATTTAATCGGTTGTGACTCATAGCAACCCTGTATAGGGTTTCCAAAGAGTGGCTGGTGAGTTTGAACCAGTAACCTTGTGGTCCAGTGCTCTATCCCACAGCACCACATCAGGACTCCATTTTAGTGGTGGTGGTGGTTATGTGCCATGGAGTCAGTTCCAACTCATCACGACCCTGTACAGGGTTTCCGAGGCTGTAAATCTTTACAGGAGCAGAAACCCTCATCTTTCTCCCGCGGAACAGCTAGTAGTTTCGGACTGCTGACCTTGAGGTTCACAGCCCGATTCGAAACCATTACGCTACCAATAGTGAAATTTCTCTCAAGCTTTTGGAATTGTTGTGCTTCTATTATATTTTTATTTTTATAAACTCCATGAAATATGAAACTTAACCATTTCCTTTTAGCCACCACTAGAAAGTTGAGAATTTAAAGTTTGACCGCCTCCTTTAAACTTGTACAAGATTTCCCAGCATGCACAATACCAAAATTTCTATGCTTTACTCTATTACTGTATTTTTCCTACCCTTCTCTAACATGCTCTGGGGGTTTCCCGATTCTAAAATAACTACTACATGCATTTTGTAAGGTACATTTAACCCTTTGTGGAATAAAGAAGGTACGAGATAGAGCACAATTGTACATGCCAACATATGTGTATATTTATGAATATACACAAGTACAAACAAGCAAAAGAACCTACATTTTAATTCTTTCCACTGAAAAAGCTATCAATGAAATTTCTCCCTCCACTTAAAGTCAACGTAACTTGGTAATACTCTTACAGAAGCAGAAAAGTAAACCATGCTAGCATTTTGTGTTTTCTTTGGTTGTTGTAGGTGCTGCAACTGCTTCTGCCTCACAGTATTTTATGAAATGCTCAACAGATCAGTTACCAGAAAGAGGAAGCCCGAGTACTTGCAGCCACGTACTTCTTTTATCTAATCGAGTTCGTATGTGTTTTTGCTATCTGGGGTAAAGAGAGTACAGAAGGTCTGATAATTACTGATATCATTGAAACTTTTATAAAATAAGGAATATGTTGACGTTAGGTGCTGTCAAGTCAGTTCCAACTCATAGCAACTGTATACACAATACAATGAAACATTACCCAGTCCTTTGCCATCCTCACAATTGTTATGTTTGGACCCATCTTTGCTAACACTGTGCCAATTCATCTTGTTGAGGGTCTTTTCTCTTTTTCACTGACCCTACACTTTAGCAAGCATGATGTCCATCTCCAGGGACCGATCACTTCTGACAATACACCCAAAGAACAAGAGATAGTCTCACCATCCTTGCTTTTAAGGAACATTCTTGTACATCTTCCAAGATAAATTTGTGCATTCTTCTGGTACTTTGAAAATTCTTCTAAAAAATCATAATTCAAATGCATTGCTTTTTTTATGGTTTTACATGCATATGAAGCAACTGAAATAAGTCTTAGGTCATGATCACCTTAGTTCTCAAACTGCAGACATTTTTGCTTTTTAACACTTTACAAGAGGTTTTTTGTAGTAGACTTGCCTAATGCAATATGTCGCTTGATTTACTGACTGCTACTACCATAAGTGTCAATTGTGGATCCAAGCAAAATGAAGTTTTTGACAATTTAAACCTTTCCTCTGTTTATCATGATGTTACTTACTGATCCAATTTTGAGTTTTTATTTTCTTTAACTTGAGGTGTAATGCAAACCGAAAACTGTCATCTCTGATATTCATCATTAAATATTATAAGTTCTCTTTGTTTCCAGCAATCACGGTTGTATCATCTGCATAACACAGATTGTTAATGAGTCTTTCCTCAATCCAACACCATAATTCAAAGGCATAAATTCTTCTACGATCTTCCTTATTCACTGTCCAGCTTTCGCATCCATATGAGGTTATTGAAAAAACCATGGCTTGGGTCAGGCGCACCTTAGTCCTCAAGCTGACATCTCTGCTCTTCAACATTTTTAAAAGTTCCTGTGCAATACGTCGTCTGATCTCTTGACTGCTGCTTCCGTGAGTGTTGATAGTTGATCCAAGAAGAATGAAGTCCTTGACAACTTCAATCTTTCTCCATTTATAGGTCCAGTGGTGAGGATTTTTGTTTTCTTGACATTGAGATGTAATCCATATCAAAGGTTGTGCTCTTTGATCTTTATCAGTAAATGTTTTAAGTCCTCTTCACTTTCAGCAACTGATTGCAATACCTAAAATGGGGCTATAAAGTACCCAGTGAAGGAGGCTTCCTGTGGAGCCTCTGTATTACATACTACCGTAAGTGGGGGAAAAAAAAGGCATATTGAAATATCTGAAAATGAGACTGAAATATCATGTCTACTGTGGCTGCTGAGTTGGCTTCTGCTCATGGTAATGTCAAATGTAATAGAACGAAATGTTACCCTGTCCTGGATCATCCTCTCTAATTTTCTTAAAATATTTAGAGGAGGAAATGATGAGTATTCACTTATTATTCTGTATTTCTTTAAAAAAGAGAAAAACACATTAGTTCCGCCAATTTTATTTGTACAATAAATGAATGGTCCACAAGACTTATCACTGTAACTCATTAGTAATTACTGCTATTTCTTGGCATATCTCCCTATTTGTTTGACGTTTCAAAACAAAAAGTTAAAAAAGAGTGAGTGAGTCTGTGCTGACCACAAGGGGCAGGCTTGTAGGGTATACTCTATGGTTGGCTGATGATGCATGGAAGGGATTGTAACCATGGCATTGAAACAATATACAACAGGATGAATATAAAGCTAATGTTTTCCCATATAAGCTATCATATAATTCACAATAAAACATTAAAAAAAAAAAAAAAGAGTGAATCAAAGCAAGGAATATTATATCTTAAGGGGAGATCAAAACTGTGGAATTAGGAAATGAAACCAAAACCATGAAACAAAAACCATCTGCCTAAAGTGAATGACGGCTATTTTAGGCTATCTTTAGTTAAAAACTAGTATGTAATTTGCCTGCTTGCTTCTGCGGAAAATAATCTGATGTAATAAATTAGCACTGTAACTAATTTACTATGCATCGTGTGGATGGCAGGAGCTAAGAGGGGAAAAGGAAGAAATAAAGGCGAAAACTAGAAGTCTGAGTCTCTAAATGAGGCTGGAAGCGGTAAGGTCAGGAAGCTTCCTATTGGAGGCAATCAGGACTTATTTAAACAGTCAGCCTGAAAGTTTCAGACAAGTATATGACGTTACTTTTAAACACATTTCTTATTTAATTACCTGTTTTGGTTGCCTTTCTAATACTTGAGCTTTCAACCAGGTTTCAACTTCTTCAATTTTCTTTTTATGCACAGCAAGTTCATGCTAAAAAAGAAATTTCAAGTTTAAAGACAAAACATTTAATTCAAAGATTTTTTGTGTATTCTAGGCTGTCTGCTTCTGTAAAGATTTATAGTCTCATAAACTCTAAAGAGTAGTTCTCCTCTGTCCTTTAGGGTCACTATGAGTCAGAACCGATTTGATGGCACGGAGTTTAGTTTTGGTTTAGCACATATTAATCTAAATCATTATTTTTCATGGGGGAGAGGAGGAGCACACAAATAATGTAACATATTCTACTTCTGAAAGGTCCTTTTTATCATACTCTTATATTGTTGTTGTTGTTGTTGCTGTTATGTGCCGTGGAGTCGGTTCCGACTCATAGCGACCCTGTACAGAGTTTCCAAGGCTGTAAATCTTTATGGGAGCAGAAAGCCTCATCTTTCTCCCGCGGAACAGCTGGTAGTTTCGAACTGCTGACTTTAAGGTTCGCAGCCCGATTCATAACCACTACACTTACCAGAGCTCCTTATACTCTTATATTAGCATAAGAAAATTCTATTCCTTAATCTGATACCAACACATGATAACATTGGGCAAGTTTGCAATTTATATAAAAATTTCTCAAATGCCAGAAATACATTTTAGAAGAGAAGTATGAAGAACATTGCATCTAGCAAATATAAATAAACAGATGAAATCTCGGTTGGGATTAAATTAAACATAATGAAAAAATAACAAATAGTACAACGTCAGAATAAATGTCGAGAAAATCTCAGCCTTAGAACATGTAAAAATTCTAGAAATTATTGCTTTATTCTAATTTATTTAGAATGAAGATTTTTATGAGTAATAATCTAAAAATATGTATCCTTCCCCTTCCCACCCACCCTGATCAACCCAGAAATTAAGTTATATAAACATGTTTGCATACTATTTAGTACCTGAGTTTCTGGCTTATATTTATCCACCCATGGTTCATTTTCAGGAAGATAGTCTTTTGAATTTTCTATGCCACAAATCTGTTCTAAGGACGACAGCTTTCCTCTTTTTCTAGCTGCAAATCTGCTATTTTCTATTGTAGAAGGCACATATTTTCTTCTATAGCTTGAGTTATTCACACCTAAGGATGAGGCAGTAATAGTAGAGATGTCTGTATCCTCTGAAAAATCATCAAATGATGGGTCTACCCAGTCTGCTACCTGGAAAACAAAAAGCCATGTAAATACCATCACATTTTCTCCATCTATCAACATTCCCCTTATAACTCAACTTGATAAACAAAATATTCATGCTTGTAACACTTAAAATAAAAAACAAAAAATCTCACAAATATCCCTTAAATTAAGAATGGCTCTGTTAGCGTACTGGTTACAAATCGGGCTGCTAACCTCAAGGTCGGCAATTCAAAACTACCAGCTGTTCCACGGGAGAAAGATGAGGCTTTCTGCTCCCATAAAGATTTGCAGCCTCAGAAACCCTGTGCAGGATCACTCTGAGTCGGAACTGACTCTTCGGTATTTAACAACTATATGTATTATTAGAGTCCTGGTGTGGCACTGTGGAATAAAGCAGTGGACCGCAAGGTCAGTGCAAACTGCAAGGTCAGCAGTTCAAACTCATCAATCGTTGTTAAGTGCTGTCAAGGTATATTGCAACCCATAGCGACCCTGTATAGAGTTTCCAAGGAGCAGCTGGTGAGCTTCAACCACTGACTTTGTAGTTCAAACCGACTTTGCAGTGCAGCACATTAATCCACAGCACCACACCAGGACTCCATAGCACCTTGGAAACCCTATCTGTACAAGGTCGCTAGGAGTTGGAACCGACTCAACGGCACTCAACAACAACAATCATATCATCGAAATTTTAACATGTGTTTTTTAAAAACTCCAACAGTACAAATCTATAAAAATTGAGTCTAGCTTTTCTGGCTTTTAGAATTTCCAGTCTGACTAAGTAAAAGGAACTAAGTTAAGATTATCCTTCCAGAATACTTAGCCATTTATTAGTTGTGAACCATACACGACTAGCATAATGCTCATTTTTGGAGAAATAAAGAATCAGACGTTAGAGCTGAAAGTAGAGTTAGGGAAGGCAATTTGGAGATTATACTTACTTTATGAATACAAAGTCACACATTCTCTTGAGGATGAGTTAGGAACATTATAAGAAAAGAATATCATGAAAAATAATTTTAATTCATAGTTACCAGTTCATTTCTATTGTCAATGATAGTAAAATTTTGGTACATTTCATCGATTTTTAAGGGTTTATGAAAACACTTTGCTATAATAACAATCTTCCTATTACTGATATACTTTAAAGCTTTATTCCATATCAACATATACATGGAATCTTATTTACTAAAACAGCAAACATTAATTTACCTAGTACCAGAGAAAATTAGAACCATCTCTAGGGAAACAGCTACTTTGCATGAGTACATTGCCTGATGCCCTCCCATCACACCGACCCTGACAGAGCCACAAAATTTCTAAGAGACAAGAGTCTGTGGTTATGGAGCCCTGGTGGTGTAGTGGACTAAGCATTAGGCGGTTTACCACAAGGTGGACAGTTTGAATTGCACTAAGGAATAAGATGAGGCAGCTTGCCTACATTAAGATTCTGTCTCAGAAACCCTGAAGAGCAGTTCTATTATTCTCTATAGGATCACTAGGAGTCAATGTTGACTGAATAGCATGGGTTTAGCATCTGTGGTTACTTCTTCCAACATGACCCCTTTGCAATCATGATTCATTTCAACTCTAGCAGAGACGGATCAAGTGCTATTTTAAACTAAAACACCAACTGTAACTCATGTGTTTTGTTCAACAGTGTATAGCCTTTTCTGTGTGACTGCGATTGCAAAGCTTTGTCAAAATTAAGGTTGTGCTTTTAGCGTACAGCTGTTTCACAACTTATAACAAGATTTTTTTTTTTACATTACAGATACTGGGAATTATCATTTTAATAACAGTGATAAGCCATTAAGAACATACTCAAAAAATCTAATGGGTTTGGGGTAATTATTATTTTATAGTTTTACCTTTGCAGAAGACAGCTTTGGTCTAAGGAAAGTTTTTGACATTATAAACTTTGACAGTTCCCATCCGTAGTATATAATCTGTACTACATTAAAATATAATTCACCTAAAGGGAAAAATAAATAAATAACCCTCAAATTAAGAAAAACTATGAACACAAAAAAATGATAGTATTCAGTATATATATCAATATAAGCAACAACTTAATAAAGTTAAAGCTCGAGAATAACAAAAGCTCTTTTATTAATAAAGTAAACGTAAGTGAAATGAGAAACCAAAGTGCTAAAATAAAATGTACTTTTAGTAACCATTAAACGTGTCAAACTGTCTTATTATAAATGCAAAGTTTTTGTACAAATTAAAAGTCTATTAGAGAAAACGGAAAAAAACATGTAGTTGTATACATACCACTTGTTTGTAAGAAAAATCAGACAATTCTATTTGGGCAGTTTTCATACTGACAATTAAATTGTTTTGTTTCTCAAAATATTGCAGTTCTTCATTTCCGAAATTTCAAAATATATCAAAAAGTGAATTCACACTTATCAGTTACTTTTGACGAAGAATTTAATTTTTTTTTCTTTTTTCTTATTTGAACATGTTAGTAAGAAGCTTTTTTTTTTTTTTTTTTTTGCCACAATTCCTTCTCAATTTTCAGAATTCTTAATGTCTAGGCAAACTAATGGAGTCCTGGTGCGGCACTGTGGGTTAATGCATCAGAATGCAAAGCCGTTTGAACTGAAAGCTCGGCAGTTCAAGATCACCAGCTGCTCCTCGGAAACCCTATACAGGGTCGCTATGGGTCGGAACCGACTCAACGGAACTTAACAACAAAGGCAAACTAATAGAATTCACAAATTTTAAGTTAGCCAATATAAACGTTCATGTCAATAAATTTATATAAATTGTAAGGTATATTGAATATAGAGTTTGGAGGCACACGTAGTTAACAATGTATAAATTTTCGCACACCCTAGAAAACAAAACAAAAACTGTTCACAATTAGACAAGGTTTTAGTTCTTGAGTTTCAAAATGCTACAGAGGTGGCAAAAACACCAATATGTTTAAGTATCGTTGGCAAGTCGACTTAAAAGAGACTTGTTACAGTCAAGGCTCAACACACTCAGAAAAAGAAGGCAATTTACCTCCTTTTAAAAGCATGTAGCTGTCCCTGGTGATGCCAGATTCCTGGGGTAAGATGTCAAAGAAGGAAAAGACCGACAACATTATTCATAGCACACTCACCAGCACCCCACACACTGCGCATGAAATAGTAAACTCAAATATTCTTTCAATGTTGATGAACTGCGAGCCAACATGAACTCGCGTTTCCCAGCTCCAGGCCAGGGCTCTGCACCCCCACCCCTCTGAGCCCTAGATAAGGTCAGGAGGAAGAGTAACGGGAGGTGGGAAGGCGTGAAGGCTGAGATGGGTTGGCGTCCCTAAGACCTATATATGTGGATACACATTCAATATCAGCCGCGTCGCCTTACTTTCTGGGAGCTGCATCCCCTCGTGGGCAAAGGAGCGGAAGAGCACAAATTCTTCTCCAGGTGGAAGGAGAGCCACCCGGCTCTATGCGGGCTCAGCGTAGAGCCTCTTAGAAACCCCGCCTCCCGGGGGCCTTCAAGACAGGACGGCGCTTCCGCGACGCGGGCCGAAAGGCGGGGCCCGCCAAAGGAGCGAATGACTTAGACATCCCGCGAATTGCCTGACCCGAATTGCGAACTCGAACTATGCCCCTGTCTCGGACTGGGAGATGGAAGCGTATTATATAGAGAACGCCAGGTAGCCAATGGTCAGCGGCCAGGCCGCAGAGGTGGTTAGGTGTGCGGTGCAGGGGCTCAAGGACCCCAAGGCAGCTGGCGTTTGCCGCTGCCCGCCCCTTCCGGCTTCTCACGGTGGGACGTGAGGTGCTCAAGTAGGGGCGGTCGGAGCAGGAGCTGTGAGGACCATGTTGCAGCCGAACATCTTACTTACGGGTCAGGGCGCGCGGCCGGGGTGCTGGACGGGGGGCCTCGGGCTTCGAAGTTGGGTCTCAGTGTTTTTGTTTCGGGTCTAATCGAGGACCGCGTGGCGTGGCGTGGCAGTTGTCAGGGCCTGCGGATTGGTCCCTCGCGAGCGTTGGGGGGGAGGGGACGCAGAACGTTTATTCCGTTGGTCAGACCCAGCTCGGTGCGGTGGGAGAGGTAGACAAATACAGCATCCCTTTCTGGGGCTAACTACTTAAATCTTTCTGAGTCTGTTTTGTTTTTGTAAAATGAATTGTTCATTGTTGTTTTGACCGGGTTGTGGGATTTTAGCGAGACGGCATAGGCAGTGTTTGGCTCTAAGATTTGTTAACGGTGGATCGCCTCAGGCCTTGCTGGTCCGCCTTTCATTTTACATTTGCATCTCAAAAGCGCCTCTCAAATAAGATTTCGGTAATCAATCCTGGGGTGTGGCGCTGCGGGAAAATGCGCTGGACCACAAGATTGGCGGTTCAAACCCATCAGCCACTCCTCGGGGATAAAACTCTTTACAGGGTCGCTATGAGTCTGAACCGACTTGACGGCACTTAATAGCAACAGCAATGGGTTCTGGTGTATATGGTGTCATTTTGTTGAGTTAGCACGAGGGCCTTAGTTTCTTTTAAGAAGAAAACGTATTTATTGAGTTTCGTGTCGTTTCCGTGCTCTTGAGGAGTCATAATCAAGTCGTGTTACATGAGAGGGAAATTAAAATGCTTCTTGAAGACGCTAAAGAATATTACTGCCAGCCATTTTGCGCCGGAAGTGTAAACAATTGTAGCAACGAACGGCATCACCAGAGCTCGGTGCCTTCATGCGATCATTTCTGGACAGCGAACTACACAAAGTCCGCGGTTCGAGCCCGCCAGCTGCTCTGCGGGAGAAACAGGCTTTCTTTCTGCCCCCGCGAGGATTTTAAAAAGGCACCTCTCGACTTCACTTAACAGCAACAGAGGCATCACAGTACAGCCCCATCAGGGGAGAAACTAAGGGGTGTAGATGATCCTGCAGCGGGTGGAAAACGTGGCGAGGTTGTGCGAGGGAACGAAGTACGGGAGTTTGGTCAGTTAGCGAAACACAGTGGTTGGCAGGGAGCAAGCCTTTAGGGTGCTGCACACACATCACTCAATAAATTGTTTAGTCTTTCAAATTCCTTAAAGAGAAGATTTGTCAACATGTGATTTGTTTGAATAAAAGTATCTAAAAGTAAATTCTAAAATACTACCATATTGTCAAAATTCTAAATGTGAGCATTTTCTTGAAAACATGGTAATACCTGGGTTAAGTGCCGTCGAATTGGTTCCAACCCATAGCGACCCTATATGGGGTTTCAGAGGAGCAGCTGGTGAACTTGAACTGCCGGCTTTGCAGTCTGGTGCATTAACCCACAGTGCCACATTTTATTTTCCTGTATATGACTTGATTATCCCTGTTAACTTTAATTAATGCATATGTTTTATCATTTTAGCGATATTAAACTTGATAGCATTTGATTTATTTTGAAATTCAGTATAATGGAAACTTAGTATTATTACCTTTTATGTAAAAAAAAAAAAAATCAAGTAATGTACCATACATAAATTTATAGTGGTTACTTCTAGGGAAAGATAGAAGGGGATCATAGTGGCATGAGACATGGCCATCATGCTGCATTGTTTCTTTCTTTTTGATTAAATAAGTAATGGTGATTGATTTAAGATTGTTTTAAAATGGGGCATTTCATGTTGTTATGTGCCATGGAGTTGGTTCCCACTCCTAGCCACGCTGTACAGGGTTTCTGAGGCTATAAATCTTTACAGGAGAAGAAAGCCTCATCTTTCTCCAGCAGAACAGCTGGTAGTGTCAAACTACTGATCCTGAGGTTAGCAGCCCGATTTGTAACCACTACACTATCAGAGCGCCTTCAGCTCATGTTAGTGGCTGGCATATTCTGTGAATCGGTATCAGAAATCATCTGAGCTCTCACTTCTAGATAATTGGATATAGTTGATTAGATGGTGATTTTGGCATCCCCAGAGTTTGGGAAATTTTGGTTCAGTCATACTACATATTTATCTATGATGGCTAATTAGGAAATTTTTCATTTTATCAATCTCAAAGGCAGGTCGATGGCGGATGTCTAATAAGTAATATTTCACATAAACTTTTTTTTCTCTGTGACATTCCTTACAGGTACACCAGGGGTTGGAAAAACCACACTAGGCAAAGAACTTGCATCAAGATCAGGACTGAAATACATTAATGTGGGTGATTTAGCTAAAGAAGGTAAGGATTCTTTAGTGTTAGATTTGTTTTTTGCTTTTATTTATAAAGTCAGATATTGAAAATCTACTTTATGACTTGCTAGAACTAACCCACACCAAACCCAGTCGTCTAGTCGGTTTAGACTCAGTGACCCTATAGGACTGAGTAGCATTCCCTAGAGTTTCTAAAACTCAGTCTTTATGGAAGCAGACTGTCTTATCTTTCTATTGAGGAGTAGCTAGTAGATTTGAACTTCTCACCTTGTATCTAGCAGTATCACCAAAGCTCATTTGCTAAGAATTATAAGTATTCTTAGGTCCGGACCTAAGTGTTGTGAGACAGTACAAAAAACAAAAAAACTGTTAAGGATTTTATGCTCTCTGGGGAATCCCCAGAAATAGGAAATACTGTGCTCAGTAGTTATGTCCTGGTTATTTTGATCATTTCCCCTAGCCCTAACCTCCCCCAAAATTGAAAGCCTTTAATTATACTTAGGATAGAGGAAAGTGGGAAGAATGTTTTGAGTTGGGTAAATACTCAGCTACTGGTAGTACTAAACATAGATAAGAACAATAAAACATTGATCTCACTAGAAGGACAGATTGTGGTTTGGTTCAAGGTAGGCAGTTCAAAACCACCAGCCACTCCTCAGAAACCCATTATTGTTCAGTACTGTTGAGTTGATTTCAACTCATAGTGACCTTACATAAGGTTTCTGAGGAGCCAATTTGGGGTTTGAACCAGCAATCTATGGTTAACTGTCTAGTGCTTATCCTACAGCATCACACCAGGATTCCAGAAAACCCTGTAGAGGGTCACTATGAGTCAGAACTGACTTGACTACATTTAACAACAGGCAGTGAGGCATTAGTTTTGTGGTGTTTTCTATAATTAGTTGGGTAGTTGCATGTAGGATGCATATGTTCTGAGTGAAATGTGTTTATGCTTAATTTTACCTTTTTTCCCAGTCTTTTATTTATCACTTGTTTTCTTCAAATTTGCATATTTTACAATGATTTTTACAGGGTAGGAATTCAATAAATAAGGGAATTTGAAGTGTGCCTATTAAAATTAGATTTCTATTCAGTAAATTTTTTTTTCTGGCAGGTGCTACTAAAGTAACGATTTCAGGTTTAATCTAATGTACATATTTCTTTCAAATGGTCTAAAGTCTGATCACCGGATATCATGGAGTCTGGCAAGATGACTTCTCCCAAGAGCATGCCGAAAGACGCACAGATGATGGCACAAATCCTGAAGGATATGGGGATTACAGAATATGAGCCAAGAGTTATAAATCAGATG